CCCCCCCCCTTAAACTGTGAGGAATAGATTTAGAAAGAAATGCAAGGTCCCAAGTGGACACGGGGTGGGGACAGCGGGCAGAAAAAAGTAAAAAGTCCTAGAACAAACCATGCCTCCTCCTTCCTCCTTCTAGGGCCTACCTGTTTATCTTCAGTGGTGCACAGACAGATAGAAGCTGTAAGGAGAGGTATTTCATGTCCTTCCAGACCAGAAAATTCAGGCTCCTTTATGGGTATATTTCTTCATTTCCTGCTCCCTACCATCCCCGAGAATTGCTAGACAGACCTAGGATTCATGTCTTATGGACACTTAGAGGCCTTCCACCTTTAACTCCCCTTTTTAATTTCTGTTTTTCTCTTTCTTCCTCTCATTTCCTTTGTTTCTCTCTTTGAAAGCTTTTTTTCTTTTTTTTCTCATTCTGTCTTTCCCAAGAACTCTTCCTCTCTTCTGCCCTTTCTCATTCCTTCTCTGCCCCCTCCTTTCCATCTTTTTTGTTATTTTGTGAACCTGGAAGTTAATTTGTAGATTATTTCACTGTAGTTAATAAAATTTTATGTAATTTTTTCCCAAAATGCTGATGGATGAATTGAAAGTTCCTTCCCTTGCCACTCTCTAAGCAAAAGTAATAAAATACATTAAGTAACTTTTTATTCATTGCAATGCACGGTTGAAATATCTTGGACCAATTTTTAAACTTTCATTTACAAAAGAGCTTCTTCTAACTTGCCTGAAAGTATTTAATCTAAATATTTAATAGACTATGTAGAATCTTAATTTTTTATAATTTTGAATCTGTCATTCTAGACTAAATCTCCCTCTTGATGGGAGATAGAATTGTACATCTGCACTAATACTTTAATATGGTGTTTAAAGTTATTTCACTGTGTGAATGAACAGTAAAGTTCCCAAGGAAGAAAAGGAAGATGTTCAGTTATTCTTTTTCCCTTTAGCAGATTCACTTATGCTGAGTTCACCGCTTCTCAGGAGCAGACAACTTCTGTATGATGAGTTGGATGAAGTAAACCCTCGTCTTCGAGAACCTCAAGAGCTCTTTGCCTTTTTCTCTACCAGGGGGCCACTGCAGCCTCCAAGATGGCCAATAGAATGTGAGGTCATCAAGGAAAGCATTCATCATATTGGTAATGTGACTTATGTGTGGTGGCCTTCTGTTCTGCCTGACTTTATTACAAGACATTAGAATTTTAAGTCCTAGCCGGGCTCGGTGGCTCAGCCTGTAATCCCGCGCCTTTGGGAGGCTGAGGTGAGTGGATTGCATGAGTCCGTGGGTTCGAGACCCGCCTGGGCAGCGAGACCTCATCTCTACAATAAATCAAAAAATCAGCCGGGCGTGGTAGCGCATGCCTGTAATTCCGGCTACTCGGAAGGCTGAGGCGGAAGGATCACCGGAGCCCAGCAGGTCGAGGCTGCGGTGGCTGGGAGCGGCCACTGCACTCCAGTCTGGGCGACAGAGTGAGACTCCAACTCAAAAAAAAAAAAAAAAAAAAAAAAAGAATTTTAAGTCCTCTTTGCTGAAGTATAAGGCAAAACAGAGTCAACATGTTAACTCACCCTGAAAGGATTAAGTTCTGGGAAACTGATATATACTCACCAAAGTCAAAATACACTGATGTGTAAAGTAGAAGGCTTCTGAGTTTTTCAGAATGGGAGGATACCTTCCTAGATGCCAAAATTTATACTATTATCTGTTTTCTAGATAATTTCTGCCTTATTATTAATGTACTTGGTTGAATTTTATTTTTACCAACCTTGCTATAATTAATGGAGACCATATATGCCAGAACATAGATTTTACTGGTTTTTGTTTTTGTTTTTTGTTTTTTGAGTTAGAGTCTCACTCTGTTCCCCAGGCTGGAGTGCTATGGCATGCTCACGGTCACTGCAGGCTCAACCTACTGACCTCAAGCAGCCTTCCAAGTAGCTGGAACTACAGGCGTGGCTAATTTTTTATTTATTGTAGAGATGAGGTCTCGCCATGTTGCCCAGCCTGGTCTCGAGCATGTGGGCTCAGACTGTCTTCTCACCTCTGCCTTCCAAAGTGCTGGAATTATAGGTACGAGCCACCACACACCCAGATTTTTGCTTTTTAAAATTATTTATTAGAGTCTTTTATGGGAATGGTGGAGACTTTTTAATTTTTTTTATTTTTATTTAATTTATTTATTTATTTTTTTGAGTTGGAGTCTCACTCCATCGCCCAGGTTGAGGCTGCTGTGGCCATGAGTGTGCCACTGCACTCCAGCCTGGGCAACAGAGTAAAACTCCAACTCAAAAAAAAAGTCTCTCCTTGTAGTCTTTATGGAAAGAAGCAAAACAATTTACAGACAAGCTAGAAACGGGGTGGGAATTTGATTTGGTGGGAATTTGGTTTGATTCAGTTTAACTAACTATTTGAATAATTAATCAGTTCTGATAGTGCCTTTGATATTATTTCTTATTTTGTACTTTTTAAAATGTCTTCTTTCAGAGTGGGTTCCCTCTCTACCAGAATATTTCTATCAACCTACAGGAAATGAAAAAGTACCAGAAATTGTAGGAGAAGAAAAAGGCACAGTCGTCTACCAATTAGATTCAGGTATTGTCATTACAACAAACAGTGAGTAGTTAGCCATGACAAAGTTATAATAAATGTGTTTTCCATAATAATAAAAGGGATTTTTAAAATCCATCGTTTAACTAGAGAGAGAGCTGGTGGTACCTGACAGTACATCTGACATGGAGAGAGTAGGGGGTGGTGGGAGAAGGAGAAGGCAGCGAATCATCTGTAAATGGCCACAGGCCAGGCTCAGTGGCTCAGCCTGTAATCCCAGCACTTTGGGAGGCAGAGGCGGGTGAATTGCCTGAGCTCGCAGATTCGAGACCCACCTGGGCAACTTGATGAGACCTCATCTCTGCAATAAATAAAAAATTGGCTGGGCATGGTTGCACATGCCTGTAGTTCCAGCCACTTGGAAGATTGAGGCGGAAGGATCGCCGGAACCCAGCGGGTCGACTCTGGGGTGGCGGTAAGCGTGCCACTGCATTCCAGCCTGGGTGACCGAGTGAGACCAACTCAAGAGAAAAAAGAAAAGGCCACAAAGCAGGACTGAAACCTAAATTCAGGAGGATGAGCAAACGCTGTGTTTTCATGGACTTCTATATGAAGCCAAGTGTGTTAAGTTTGCCATAAAGGACAAACAAGGGAAATACTTTATACATTATGGTGGTTGGAAGAAATACAGGGATGAGTGAGTTTGAGAGAGTAGAGGACTCGTATATCTAGGCACCTGTATAGAAACAGCAGGAACTTCAGAAAGCCAATCAGGAGCAACATGCAGAGGGGAACATGAGAGAGGCTGTCCTAGGAAAGAAAACATCTGGTCTGCAAAAGAGAAATGTTGAAGTGAAAACAAAAAGAATAAACAGAAAACACCTGGAAATGGAAATGGCGCCTTGGTCTCTGAAGAAAAGGGCCTGGGTAGATCCTGCTGTTGAAAATGAAGAAACATTCATGAATAAAGTTGAAGTTGATGATTCCCAAAAGCTAGAACCATGGCTTGTTGAGCTGGGCATGGTGACTCACACCTATAATCCTAGCATTTTGGGAGGCTGAGGTGAGAGAATTGCCTGAGCTCATGGGTTCGAGCCCAGCCTAGGCAACTTGGTGAGACCTCATCTCTACAAATAAATCAAGACATTAGCTGAGCATGGTGGCACAAGCCTATGGTGCTAGCTACTTGGAAGGCTGAGGTAGAAGAATCGCCAGAGCCCAGCAGGTCAAGGCTGCAGTGACTGTTAGCGTGCCACTACACTCCAGCCTGGGCAATACAGACTCCAACTGAAAAAAAAAAAAATAGCTATAATAAAAGCTAGAAAACCAGACACGGTAACTTGTGCCTATAATGCCAGCTATTCAGGAAGCTGAAGTAAGAGGATCACTTGAGGCCAAGAGTTTGAGGCTGCAGTGACCTGAGACTACCACTGAGATTGCCTCACTGCATTCTAGCCTGGTCAACAGAGTGAAAATCCATCATTTAAAAAAAAAAATGCTGGACGTGGTGGCTCAAGCCTGTAATCCCAGCACTTTGGGAGGCTGAGGTGAGAGAATTGCCTGAGCCCAAGGGTTCGAGTTCTGCCTGGGAAATTTGGTGAGACTTCATCTCTACAATAAATCAAAAAATTAGCTGGGTGTGGTAGTGCACACCTATAGTTCCAGCTACTTGGAAGGCTGAGGCCGAAGGATCACCTGAGCCCAGTAGGTCGAGGCTGTGGTGGCCGTGAGCATGCCACTGCACTCCTGCCTGGGTGACAGAGTGAGACTCCAACTCAAAAAAAAAAAAAAGTTCAGATGTGGTGGCTCACGCCTATAATCTCAACACTTTGGGAGGCAGAGACATGAGGATTGCCTGAGTCCAGAGGCTTGAAACCAACTTGGGTAACTTGGCAAGACCTTATCTCTATGATAAATAAGAACATTAGCTGGCTCGGTGGCTCAACCTGTAATCCCGCGCCTTTGGGAGACTGATATGAGTGAACTGCCTGAGCCCGTGGGTTCGTGACCAGTCTGGGCAACTTGGCGAGACCTCATCTCTACAATAAAAATAAAAAATTAGCCAGGCGTGGTAGCGCACGCCTGTAGTTCCAGCTACTTGGAAGGCTGAGCAGAAGGATCGCCAGAGCCCAGCAGGTCGAGGCTGCGGTGGCTGTGAGCATGCCACTGCACTCCAGCCTGGGTGACAGTGAGACTCCAACTCAAAAAAATTAATTAAGAAAAGAAAAGTTAAGGAGGGTCTGGAGCAGGTAGTAACAGTAACATTTCAGATAGAAAATAGGAGCTATAATGCTAAAGAGCAATGAGCCAAGGAATGTAATATGAACCTTCCCAAGAAAAGGGAAGTAAACTTTGAATAATGATAGGACAGCAAGTTGGTGATAGGGATGGACATGGGGGATCAAGGAGGTGCCCACAAGGGAATCCTTTGTCATCACCAAAAATCATCTGGTACTCGCTGCACACACACTCGGAGTCCAGAACTAATTACAGCTGTTATTTTATTTTTTGAGTTGGAGTTTAACCGTGTTGCCTAGGCTTGAGTGCAGTAGCATGATCATCACAGTTCACCATAGCCTCAACCTCCTGGGTTCAGGTAATCCTCCCACCTCAGCCTTCTGGCATATGCCACTTTGCCCAGCTTTTTTTTTTTTTTTTTTTTTTTGGAGTCTCTGTCGCCCAGACTGGAGTGCAGTGGCTGCTTCCAGCCACCGCAGCCTCAACCTGCTGGGCTCCGGCGATCCTTCCACCTCAGCCTTCCAAGTAGCTGGAACTACAGGCACATGCTACCACACCCAGCTAATTTTTTATTTACTGTAGAGATGAGGTCTTGCCAAGTTGCCCAGGCGGGTCTCGAACCCGTGGGCTCAGGCAATCCACTCACTTCGGCCTCCCAAAGTGCTGGGATTACAGACTGAGTCACCAAGCCCGGCTTCCCAGCTAATTTTAAAAATTTTTTTTGTAGAGACAAGGTCTCACTATGTTACCCAGGTTGGTTTTAAACTCCTGGATTTAAGCAATCCTCCTGCCTCAGCCTCCAAAAGTGCTGGGATTAGAGGCGTCAGCCACTGTGCCAGGTCTAATTACAGTTTTGGGTTTTTTTGTTGTTTTTTTTTTGAGTTGGAGTCTCACTCCATCGCCCAGGCTAGGGGGCAGTGGCACACTCATGGCCACCCCAGCATCGATCTGCTGGGCTCTGGCGATCCTTTGACCTCAGCCTTCCAAGTAGCCAGAACTACAGGCATGCGCTACTGCACTTGGCTAGTTTTTTATTTATTGTAGAGATGAGGTCTTGTCAAGTTGCCCGGGCTGGTCTCGAGTCCATGGGCTCAGGCAATCCACTCCCCTCAGCCTCCCAAAGTGCTGGGATTACAGGCTGAGACACCGAGCCCGGACCTAATTACAGTTTTTTGTTGTTGTTGTTTTTTGAGTTGGAGTCTCACTCTGTCACCCAAACTGGAGTGCAGTGGCCGCTCCCAGCCACCGCAGCCTTGACCTGCTGGGCTCCGGAGATCCTTCCGCCTCAGCCTTCCAAGTAGCTGGAACTACAGGCGCACGCTACCACACCTGGCTAGTTTTTTATTTATTGTAGAAATGAGGTCTCGCTAAATTGCCCAGGCAGGTCTCGAACCCGCAGGCTCAGGCAATCCACTCACCTCAGCCTCCCAAAGGCGCAGGATTACAGGCTGAGCCACCGAACCCTGCTTAATTACAGTTTTTAAACGAGTTCTTTACAGTTAGGAAATGACATATTGAAGAAATAGAAAAATAAGAAAATTAGCCGGGCTCTGTAGTTCAGCCTGTAATCCCACGCCTTTGGGAGGCTGAGGTGAGTGGATTGCCTGAGCCCATGGGTTCGAGACCCGCCTGGGCAGCAAGATCTCATCTCTACAATAAATCAAAAAAAATCAGCCGGGCA